TGCAAAAGGGGGATGATAACGCCTTCTGGTTTGGTCTTGTCTATTGCTTTGAATCCAGTGGCACTGCCCAAGCCACAGCCAATTGGCATAAGGTGGGCCAGAGGCAGTTCTGCTTGTCCAGACTCCATCCTGCACTCCACTTCTCTTGTGACTTTGGCTTCTGTTTAGAGCCTTTCCTTACCCACAGACTTGCTGCTTCTCAGGCTCGGACTCTTGCCTTCTTTCCTTGTCCTGGTCGCCTTGGGTGCTCCACTCAGATCCTCTTCACAGGTTGATGTGCCTGTCCCCAGCTGCTCTGCACCCTGGTTGCTGATGGCTCAGCTGTGTCCTTTTCTGGAAAACTTTCCCTGAGCCAAGGGGCATCCCTTCACCCCAAGCTTCCCAGGAAGTTATTACCCCCCCACCCCCAGAAGTGACTCACAGCCAATGACAGACAGATTCAGGGTACAAAAGCCTAGACCCCCTTCAGGGTCCAAAAGCCAAGTCTGCGGGGCCACATACATGCCATGGCTCCAGTTCAGAATTTCCTGGCAAGAACAAGAACAAGCTATATTTCCTCCCAAGACACCCTACTTCTTCCCTCCCAGGAAGGCAGGTTGGTGCTGTGGAGAAAGCAAGAGCTGTTAACAGACAGGCAGACCTGGGACTGAATCCTGGCTCTAGCGATTAATAGTGGTATGACTTAGGTAATTCACTATAAATTTTCTAGGCTTCAGTTTCCTTACTTATAGGATGTGGGTCATAATCCCCACTTTCTAACTATTGACGTGAGGGTTCAAGAGCAGCGTAAAGCCCTTGAATAGTGCCTGGTGCACAGAATGTCCCGATAACCTTGGCTGTCCCTTGCTTTCTCTCCTTGTGGGGCAGCCTGCTGAGCAGGGCAGCTGGTGGCGGCCAGGCCAGCTGGAACCATGCCCTCTTTGGCCTGTGGTCCCTAATGGCCAACTCTGGCCCAGTGGGAAGTGTTGTCGCCCAGTTGCATGCTGCAACATGTCCGTGTGCACTAGTGGCCTCATAACCCTTGCTCTGTGGCTCAGTTCAGGAACCAAACCACCTGTAAAGTAAAACTTCTGATTCTCAGTTTTGGGTTTGGAGGCCATCTTCTCTGAGCATTGGCCTGCCAAGGGGCCCCTGGGCTACGTAAATGGCCTGCAAGGGTCTCTGGTAGACTTCTCCACTTGGCCCCAAACCTCCTCCAGCTCACACCACTGGGCCATCTGCTCCCAGTAGCCTCAGGCCATCAATTAGTAAACCCCAAGCCAAGGCAGCAGAGGCAACAAGAATGATGGCTGCTCCACGCAGCCAAGAGGCCCCCCTAGAAATCTCCAAACTCCCCTTCCATTAACTGCTGTTGAGGGAAGGATGCAGAGGCCACTGGAGAAACCTACTCTGGGCACCACAGGCAGGCCACCCAAGCCAGACTTGATCTGAGGGCTTAGGCTAGACTCACGCCTACGGTTCCCAGCTCTTGGCTTTTCATCCTTTGCTTCCCATATCACAATTCCACGTGTCCTGGGGCAAAGGTGGATGGCCATAGCAGGGCTCGAAGAAGGTTTGAGAGCTTCCAGGACCCCTGTCAGGCCTTTCATGGCCTGGGCCACCACTTAGGGAAAAAAGCATCTCCAGCACCAAAGAGAAATCACTGTCACACGGATGAAACTCCCAGAAAGTAACCAGGAGGCATGGAATCAGAAGCTGGGGAGTAGAGAATACTTAGGTTTCAGGGCATGAGGTGAAAATACCATATAATAAGACTGGTTCTGCCAACGGGATCAAAATTCCTCCAAGTTTACTCATTAAATCTTTTTCCTCCACAAGCCTGGGATGGCCAGGATTGATATTTGCACTTGGGATGCATCTTTTTCTAAACTTTCCCTTCTTTTGACCAAATATAATCCCATTCTAGACCATTAGCTTATTCTTACTCAGGCAAGATCAATCATACTAAGCAGTTCTCATTTATTGAGAACTGGTTAGGTGCCATGTGCTTTACACACATTGTCTCGCTTTATCCTCACACCCCAGGGCATTATTATTTTTATTCCTGTTTTACAGTTGAGGAAACAACAGTTCAGAGAGGTTCCATGGCTTGCCTAGCTCACTGAGATTTTAAGCGACATCATCACAGAACCTAGGTCTGGCTGACTCCAGAGCTCACACTCTTGACTGCCACATTGCTTTGTCTACCAAGAACAGGAGAGTTTCATGAAGGGACTGTTACCTTCTGTTCTTCTGTCCTCCGGTTGCAAGATCCTAAGGCTGAGAGATGAGAGGGAGCTTCCCACACCTTCCCACGCTGAGCGACTGTACAGACAGCTTCATGGAGGCTGCTTTTTGCTGCTTTGGACTCCACACAACAAAAGGAGCAGGTTTTCCTAACTGGGGCACGCCCCCATAGGCAGCTGGATTCCCTGACTGGGAGGAAAAAAATTCCAGGGGGACAGGTCCTGAGCTCATCCGGATCTTCACAAAATTGAACGTTTTGATGTTTTTCCCCCAATATTGAAATGTTACGTGGCCAATAAGAATTAGAAAATGCAAAAAAGTAAACGGAAGGGAAAAATAACTTGTAGGACTGTCAACCAATGATCTGTGGGCAAATTTCCTTCTCTCTTTGTAAGGGTTAGAATTAAAAAAAAATATGGTCGGGATCACATTGTATACTGCTTTATTCATGAGAAAATTTCCATATTACATGTGTTCTAAAAACCATTTTTTCGGTGGCTGCCTCATCTTCCATTGACTGGTTGCACCCTACTTTTCTTAAGCAGTTCCCTGAAGGTGTGTCTTTTGGTTGGGATGAAGCATGCCTATGCTGTTTCCCAGCTCACTTACTGTTTTAGGGTCTTAGAGATCAAGTTCATTTTCCTTGGCAGACAGTTGTTTCCCACAGTGGTGGCATTTGCCGTGGGACTTCCCAGGCACCACTTTCCTGGGGCACAAACTCTCTTCACTCATTTCCCTGACAGAAACAACCCTGACATTGCCCGTGAGCCTGGGTCTTCCACTGCTTTGGTAACAACCTTCATCCCCAGCCCTATGGAACCAACACTGCGCTCTTGGCCTCTCAGCCACCACTGGTCCCTGTACATAGGGGTCTACTGTCATTTCCTGGCTTTGCAGATGTGAGCACTTCACAGGAGGGAAGCCCTGGCCAGACTCTGTTCAAGATGCTGGCTTTTGGCCAACATCTCAATTTTCCTGACTGTTGTACTTCAAGCAAGATGGGCAATTAGGTGAAGGGACTGGAAGACACAGCCAGGTGGCATAAGGGGATTTGGAGGCCAGAAGACGTGGGCTTGGATCTTAGCTCTTCCACTTTTCTGCTTTGGAAACTGAGCAAATTATTGACTCACAGAGCCTGGGTTTCCTCATATTTGTTAGAAAATAATTCCTTCCCTCTAGGGTTTTTGTGGGAACTAAATGACATAATGCAAGTGAACTTGTTGAGTCCAGTTTCTGACCTAATCAAGGCAGTTAATAAAGGACTGAGATCATCTCCCACCCCACCTCCCTACCCCCAGGGATCAGAGTTTTCCATCGCATTGTTCCATTATACTGACTATCTCCTAGGAGTACCAACCAGCCCTTGTTTTCAAAAGTTTTATCCTCTGGAAGAACAAGTTCTCCAAAGCCATGCTGGTCAGTCCAGTAGCCTTGAGACTTTATTGGCCCATTGCTCTGGCCAGATTATGTGTAGCTAAAGGGCTCCCTACCTTCATCTTGTTGACGGGTTCTAGACCACTCAGATTACCTTAGGGATAAACAAGACAATCAAGCAAAAACACTCCTCCCTCCTTGTACCAAATACCCTCATCTGCCTCCTTATATTTAATCCACATTTGCCAGTACATGGAATGGGACTGTAGACACTCAGGTCAGCTCTGGGAACGTCTTCAACTCCTACTCGAGAGATCTGGGTTCTGCCTTCCCTTCTGACCCTAGTCTTCCCAGCTCCACTTCATTATGTTTTAGTCCAGGACCAAACTCATCCTAATGAAGCTGAAGACCAGGAGAGGAAGGACTAGTTAGACATTATGGTTCAAATGCATCAATTAATCCAGTGGTTCTCCAACTTCGCTGCCCATCAGAATCAGCTGTGGAGTTTTCAAGATTCCCTGATGCCCAAGCGCACTTCAGATCAATTAAATCAGGATTTCTGGGCATGGAGACCAGGCAGGATATTAAGTTTGAGGCAAGTTTGAGAACCAGTGACTTAACTGCTATTGCTAATGTGCCTGATTCAGTGTTGTGTCCCACGTTTCGTAAGTTCTGCATGCATCTCACTTTATAACATTCCATGTGCAGTTAGGCACACAGCTTCTGATGATGATGGAATACCTCAGTCTGTTCCTGATTAACTCCTACAATTGGAATATGGTGGCTATTCCAAGAGCACACATATGTCCCAAAGTCATACATGACAAACATTTTATTACATTAAAAAAAGCCATCTGTTAACCGCTGAACTGTAGCTACATCTGAGGCTACTTTAACAAATGGCATCAGAGAACAAATATAGATTTTCGACATCACAAAATGGCTCGATTCTCCACTTCCCCCATTAAATACTAATCAGTGGCTTAGGCCAGTTCTGGTAAAGAGCACCTACTTGCTGATGTCACATAAAACCAGGAAAGGTTACCCTAACATCTAAACGACATGGGTCCATTCCTGGCATCTCCCTAGTAGCCAGATGGCTGTGGCTTGAACACAGGAGGCAATGCCAGGGTGGCATCAGCACCCTCCACTGCGGTGAACTCACTCTCCCTAATGATGGCTCTGGGGGCCGCATCACCATCTGGGGCCCACATGAGCAGACTCCCTGTTGGGCTAGGGTGGGCTCTGAGATGGGTTCCATCTGAGATTGGAATCAGCTTGGTTCCGCTTCACTACACAGCAAATTTTACACCCTGAGGGAGTGGTTAGGAAGCGCTGCTCATTACTCATGGTAGAAAGCAGTGCTTCGCCCCAGAGCAGAGCAGGCCCAGCAGGCGCATCCAGCTGGGCTGGGGAGGAAGCAGCCTGCTAGGTAGAGCTGAGAAGCAGGGGGGACGCTGGCAAAGGGACTAGCACCGCTTGCCTTTTGGTTCAGAGCAGCTTCTGAAGACTCCAATGTCCATTCTAGACACTGGATATTTGGACATCACCCAAATGGCTTCTCCATCTAGCCTGGAGGTGAGGGGACCATCCACCATGATGCTGAGGCTATTACCCGTTCAACAGTGACTGTCCACGCGGCTCCTGAGCTGAGTGCAGTTCCTCAGTTTACCCTCACGTTCCTGGGGTGTGCCTGAGGCAGCGCAATTTCTGGGATCCAGAAGCTCCCAGGCTGCTCAAGAGGCATCATGTTCATTCTCACTTGCTTCTCTTTTCTCTTTCCTGCTCCCACCTGGCAGTACCTCTGGTGGCTTCACAGGTGGTCAGACGGTTTCCTCCACCCTGCAATGTCGGTGGGGGGTTTGGGGGGAGGAAGAGGCTGCCCCCCTCCCCCTTCACCCATATTTCTCCTCTGCCCACACCCACCCTCACCTCTGCACCAGGCCCCATCACAGAGGCACACCATTGATGCCAGTCTGTCAGAGTGCAATGTAAACAGTCAAGACATTGGTCTTTTCCCTTCCCCTGGGCCAGCAGGCTTCCCTTCATCCCAGGCCTGAAGGAGGCTCCTCAGAGGCCCTCCCCGCAGTCACTCTTGCACCAGGAAGTTGATGAGGGCAGTTCTGGGGGAGAGGAAAGCCTTCTTGATGCTTCGTCCCTGCAAGAACCTGACACCCAGCTCGCTTTGGAGAACAAGCTCGTGGACTTTCTCCTGGTCCTGGGCAACTTGTTGGGGCACAGGGATTTTGCCGCAGGCTTTGTTGTTGATCTGAGAAGGAGAAAAGCATAGACATACAATGAGGAAAGTCCTGTGAGGCGCAGGCCACCGGATACCAGTAGCCAGCTTCTCAAGAGGACAAAGTGCAATTAGATGGATAGGATTAATGTCTGAAACTACAGAGAGAGACCCCAGCACTGAGCGTGCACGTGAGCACCCACACCTGGAGGGAGCCCCGCCTGCTGTGTCCTGAGTGTTGCCCCCATCACAGCTATGGTGGAAATTATGTCAAAAATCCTCAGCATGAGATGGCTTAGGCTGTTTCCACGGAGAGAGGGATTCCCATGTCACAGGAATCAAGTGTGAGTTCAGATGCGGCTACAGGGGGTGTCATGGAGGATTTTACCAAGGTCTCAAGTGGACTGATTTCTGGGAACGCAGTCATCTCTCTCTTTTTTTTTTTTTTAAATTTTATTTATTTATTTTTCCCCCAAAGCCCCAGTAGATAGTTGTCTGTCATAGCTGCACATCCTTCTAATTGCTGTATGTGGGACGTGGCCTCAGCATGGCCGGAGAAGTGGTGCGTCGGGTGCGCGCCCGGGATCCGAACCCGGGCCACCAGCAGTGGAATGCGCACTTAACCGCGAAGCCACGGGGCCGGCCCAAGTCATCTCCCTTTCTGATGACTGGCTCTGGAAGGGGGCGCTCAAGTGTGATGACTTGGGAATTGGACCCACATTACATTAACAATTCTTCTTGCTTAAAACGGACCCGTACAGTTCCGGACGCCAGTGAGTATTCACTGAATATCAGTTCAACAAGGACAAACTTCACATCAAATGTGAACTGATACTGCCACCAAGGAAAGCGACCACGCAGCCCAGACAGCTTCTGCACAGCCGTGCTTCAAATCCGCGATCCCACTGCCTGTAAGAACGCTGACATTTCTTTCCCTAATGCTCCTGTCTTGTACTTGGAAAATATAGTCACTATATTACGAAAAGTTACTAGGAATAATTTCTCAAGTTTCAACCAAAGCACACTATCAGTGTCCCTAATCACCCACTCCATTTTTTCAGATTTACGTAGAACTTAGTGGCATTTTATTGGTTGTGTTAGCCTAGATCACTGCGTGGGAGCTCAACAAGACGAAACAGCATGTCCTGAAACATTCTGAAATACTGTTGTTTTAAAAAAGTGAGAGGCTCCATGATGCAGGGTTTTAGTGTTCTGACCTGCAGAACTCGGATGTGCTGTTTGAAGGACTGTGGTCTCTCTGCCTTTGCATTTCTTTTTCTTTTTTTGTGAGGAAGATCAGCCCTGTGCTAACATCTGCCAATCCTCCTCTTTCCCTGTGCTAACATCTGCCAATCCTCCTCTTTTTTTTTTTTGCTGAGGAAGACTGGCCCTGGGCTAATATCCGTGCCCATCTTCCTCCACTTTATATGGGATGCCGCCACAGCATGGCTTGCCAAGCAGTGCGTCGGTGCACGCCCGGGATCTGAACTGGCAAACCCCGGGCCGCCACAGCGGAGCGCACGCACTTAACCGCTTGCGCCACTGGGCCAGCCCCTGCCTTCGCATTTCTAAGCCATTAGAAGCAGCCTTCTTTCAAGGCCACAAGCTTATTATTATTTTTTTAATTGCGGTAACATTGGTTTATAAGATTGTATAAATTTCAGGTGTACATCATTATACTTCTATTTCTGCATAGATTACATCACGCTCACCACCCAAATACTAATTATAATCCATCACTGTACACATGTGCCTAATCATCCCTTTTGCCCTCCTCCCTCTCCCCTACAAGCTTGGTTTGACCGAGACCTCAGAAGAGACCTCCCACCCCCTCACACAAAAGCCACCCCCTGTGAAGTCTTGGGACCCCCAAACACGGAATTCTCAGAACTTGTTAATGAGTCACAGTACCAGCCCTTCCGTCTCTGTTCTTACGCTCTTTTTCTAGGGAAGAGGCCCAGGGTGAAGTCTCTTCTGGCCACCACTCAGGATGTGGGGTGCTGGGGGGAAAGAGCATCTTCTCTTACAAGGGACAGACTTAGGTTTGATTCTCAGGCCTGGACTCACAAACTGTGGGACCTTAGGCCTCGGTTTTCTCTTCTTTAAGGACAGAATCCTCCTTTAAGGATTGGGGAGTGAAGGAAGTGAGACAACCTGTGTAAAGTGACCAGCTCACTAAACCTTACTCCCTCTCCTTTGTCAAGAATCCTGGCCCAAGGCCCCGTGGCCTAGTGGTTAAGTTGGGCACATCCACTTCGGCGGCCAGGGTTGGGTTCCCTACACTACTCATAGGCAGCCATGCTGTGCTGGCAGGCCACATACAAAACAGAGGAAAACTGGCACAGATGTTAGCTCAGGGTGAATCTTCCTCAGCAAAAAAAAAAAAAAAAAAAAAGATTCCTGGCCAGGGTGGAAGGAGTGAGCTGTGGGACATCCTCTTCAATACATGGCCTCAGCACAACATCAACCCCAACTCCTAGGCCCAGTGAGCCTCTGGTGCTTCCCTGGAGCCCAGGGGCTGGTCCTAAGCTATCACTGGCCAGGCCTGTCCAAGGGAGCCAAGTCATTTTCGTCTGCGCTGGGACCTAGGAGTAGGGCACATCCTCCTCTGGATGTGCCATGGTGCCCGGGGGCTTCCCTGCGCTGCCTTGGGGTCCCTCTCATGGTTTCTGGCTCCCTGGGACTCCCCTGAGTTGCCTTATCTGGGGCAGTCCTTTCAGGGTGAGTAAGGCTTGATCATGTTCGGTCCTGGGCATGAGGCACCGATTAAATGGACAATAGAAGTCTAGTTGGGGGCTGGTCCCGTGGCTTAGTGGTTAAGTGCTCACGCTCCACTGCTGGCGGCCCGGGTTCGGATCCCGGGCTCGCGCTGATGTACCACTTCTCCGGCCATGCTGAGGCCGCGTCCCACATACAGCAACTAGAAGGACGTGCATCTATGACATACAACTATCTACTGGGGCTTTGGGGAAAAAAATAAATAAAAAAAAATTAAAAAAAAAAAGAAGTCTAGTTGGGACTCAACATGTGGCTTGGCCTTCAGGGGCCCAAAGGGGAAGAAGTGGCTTCAAATCACCTCAAACAGCGGCTGTTTGACTTGAGAAGAGTCTCCCAGCCCCATGTGACGGCCTTGCAAGCTTCTGCTCCTCCCTCTCTGCCATCTACACTTCATCACTCAGCCGTGGTGCAGGGCCTCAGCCTTGTTCTCTTGGACTTTTCCAACAGCTGCCTGGCGGGCCCCTGGCCATGAGTGCTGCTCCCTCCGCCACACCCATCACTACTCACCGACAGGAGGGGAGCCCCGCCCTGGCTAACAGTAAAGCCCCTGCTGAGCTCTCACTCTGTGCCATGTGAGCACAACTGTGCTACACAATTCCCTTGAGTGAGCCTGTTCATCCTCACCACAACCCTGTGAGGCAGATGCACAACCTTCCATGCCCGATTTACAGATGGCGACACTGAGGCACACGAGGTGAAGCCACTTGCTCAAGGCCTCCCCCATCCCAGTGAGTGGTGGAGATGGGATGACCTCCTGGGTCCTCTCTCTCCTCTGCTCACCCCAATCCTCTCAGGGATGGAGTCGGCCTTCTCCCTAGTGCTGCCCTGCCTGTGCCTCTTCTCCAGCCCCTCCATGGCTCACAGACCCAGTGTCCCTGAGGGCTTTCCCCTGCCTTTGCCCCTTTTCTCCACCAGGGAAATGCTGCTCCTCCTTCAAAGCCAGGGTTCACGGCCCCTCCCTCAGATGCCTCTTCCAATCCCCCACTGCCAGAGCGGCGGTGCTGATGCCAGCAGTGGTTACCATCTACCGGAAGAGTTATTAAGCCCTGTGCTGCCACCATCTCCTTACCTTACTTGTAAGATGGGGTTAGTCTCATATTGGCCTCGTCTGCGAAACCGGGATAACAGGGCCTGCCTCACAGGGCTGTTGTGCGGGGTAAATGAGTTAGTATCTGGAAAGTTCTTAGGGCAGTGCCTGGCCCTTAGTTGGTGCTCACTGTGTGTTACCGGGTTTTGTCATTAGTGTGTCCAGAAGCAGGCTAAGCACCTCCTGGCATTATCCCACCTAATTCTTTCAACAACCGGGTAAGGCAGGCAACTGTTTGCCTCCATTTTCTAACTGGGGAAACTGAGGCTTAGAGAAATTAAGTATTTTGCAAAACTGAGACTTACATCCTGGATGGTCCGACTCCCAAGCTCTCACATCTTAACCTTGAGGCTACATAAACTCTCTGTGTGTGTGACAACTTGTGTGCCCCCCAGACTGTCCCTCCTGGGTGCTAAGCTCCATGAAGATAAGGTGGTGCCTCTGGGCTCCGTGTCCTTAGAATTTGGCACAGCCCAGCACACCATGGGCACAGAGAACATGGGCATGGCTGAACCGAATTACACTGTAGCGTGCTGCAGCTTCTATTTCTGGCCATGGCACCGAGATCACACGGAGACAGAACACAGGCCTCTACAGAAGCTCTGCCACATGGCATGGTGCCCTGACCCGAAGGTTCTCAAGTCGGGTGGACTTACAGGGAGTCCCACAGACAGTTCAAATTTGGGGTTTTCATTTCAATGATAATCTAAAATTATTTTACCAATTATCAAAACTAATTCTTTTCTGCAGTGATAATTTAAAATGAAAAGACATTTTCACTGACTAAAATTCACTGTCTCAAGTTGGCATTTCTCAATTGTGCTGAGCAAGAGTACTCAGGGGTACAAAAATACTTATTTTTATAAACATTACTCAAGTTTAAGAAATTGCCTCTCTGTGCCATAAGCCTGTTTTTGGTTTTGAGGATTTTTGGAAGCAGCCTACCAGGGCAGCCCCACCCCTCTCCTCCATGGGGGAGGCAAAGTGGGGGCAGCGGGGAACTAAGAGCCAGGGGAGGTGGTGTGGGGATGGAGCAGCTGTGAAGGAGCCGGTCTCCTGGGTGACAGTCTTTCCAAACATCCACTTGCCTGCTGGGCCCAGGGTCTGCACAGACGCAGAAAGGTGGGGGCCTCTGTGAGGCTGGGCTCTCCCTCAGCCTATAGGGGCATTGTTCATGGCACTTTTGTCCACAGTTCACAATAATTTTATTTAGTTTTCTCTTTCCTTTTTATTTTCCCCTCTCTCTCCCACTAGGCTTTAAGCGCCATGAGGGTAGGGACCCTGTCTGTCGTGTTTGGTTTGGTATCCCCAGATCCTAGCTAGCACTGTGCCTGAAGGAGAGTAGGTAATGCAATTATTACTGATGAGGAAATGAGTAAACCTGGGCCAGGTGACTAACTCGTTCGAGACTGTTTCCTCAACTGAAAAACACGGGAATGGTAATGCCTACCTTACAGGGTGGTAAGAGTTAAATTTTGGATATAAATTACCTGGCCCCATGTGTGGTTCAGAGACATGCTAAAAGGTCCACCCCAGCCCTCTTTCCCTCTTCAGCCACATCAGCATATTTAAGAGACATTCCTTATAATATGTCTCACATTAACAACTTAAATATGTAAAAATTACACAAAGGATAAACTGTAAGTTATTTGCTCTATAAAAGATTTAAACAATAAACTACTTTTATGTATCTAAAACAACCCAATTTACCAAAAAAAAGACATTTTATGTAGCCTTTCTACAACATATTTTGCAGACTGAGGTGTTCTGCTTTGCCAACATCCTCACCCTTCCCGCCCCGCCCCCACACCCCTAAGAGAACCAAGAGCAGGTGAATGCAACTTAGACTGAAACTCAGTTGGCAAGGAAGACAACTAGAACCTGTAAAGCAAGGCAGGTTTATTTTTCCCACCTTCCAATCCCTTGAGGGCCACGAGAGTTTTATGCTCACAAGTTTTGGTATGTGATGACTTCAAAACTGAAGGGCCGGAAGGTCGGGCTGAGGGCTGGCCGGGCTAGAAAGGCCTGTAGAGAAACCTCCAAACCCAGCCAACGCTTGTGGGCAGCAGGCAGGACAGTGACCTGCCCCACAGGTCCGCCCCTGGCTCTGGGGCTGTGGGGGACACTCACCAGAACCGCCATCTGCACGACGTCGGGCCGCTGGAGGAACTGTGGGTCCACGGCTGGCCAGGCCTGCAGCAGCACGCCGGCGTCCCAGGCATAGTGGGTGCAGAGCTTCCTTGGCACCAGCGCCAGGCCTGCAATGCCAAGGCAGAGTGTCACTGAGCGCACGCACGGCTCGTGGGAGCAGCATAAAAACCTTTCACCCCAACACAGCCTGGCTTGGAGCTGTCTGAGGAGGCTCCCAGAGCCCACACCACTGCCTACCAGATGCTCCCCACTTACTTCGGCCTGGTTTATAATCCCAGGTTTATAGGTAGCTTCCCCCCACCCCCTCAAACAGTACCCAGAGCTATAAAGATGGATGGACATGCTGTTCTACAGTGTGCATTTGGAAAAACAAGGCTGCTGACTTGGCTTGGTCTCTGCAGTTCTGCTGGTGAAAGAATGCCTTTGTGCTCCTGAGAGCAGATCCCAAAGCCAGGAGCTGCATTCGCTTCCTTTCCTGCCCATGATTACTTGTGGTCTGAGAGGGCCTCCCACCCAGTCCTTTTACTCATGATCACTGGAGCCAACATGCTGAGAACAGTAGGGCGCTCCGTCACAACCTTCTCAGAGGGATCTCATCCTTCCCACTAAACTTCCTCTCAGGAGAGGCTCCCGCCAATTACCAAACTGGAAAGAGCTGTCGTTGGCTCAGGGTGGATCAAACATGGGGAAGCAGCGAGGAACGAAACCCTCTCAAATCGTTTCCCAGAATGCTACGTGCTGCAGCTCCCAAAGCAGAGGTGGCCATGCCCAGGACGCTCCCTGCTCAGTACCCACAGGGTTGCACAGGGCCAACTGTCAGGGCTTCAGGACATCAACCAGGGGCTTCCTAGGAGGGAAAGTTTTGGTTTCCAAGCCTCTGCCGATCTCATGAGTACAAGAGATGCCCCCAAATGTGCAGGAAATACACACATCAGAAAAACAGATCCTTGGGCACTACTAGCATGGTACTAACTCCACTACCCCCCATCATAGCAGAGGCAGGCCTGGGCAGGGGTGGGCAAGTGAATGTGACCAGTATGCCCATACTGGGGTGATGCCATGGCAGCTGCAGAGCCCTCATGCTGGGAATGGCTTTTCTGGAAGTGGTGGAGGTGGGGTGCATACTGCCCCCTTATTATTAACCTTGAGACCAGGAGATGCATTTGAGGGATGGGCCCATGGCTCATGGGATGGCTTGAGCCCGAGTCTGGGACAGAGGAAATGAATCCCACCAATCCCAGTCCCAAGAACACTGGGCTGTGAATGACGTTTTGCTTTATTTTCGTTGATGACGAAAGTAATGCATGCTCCTTGCAAAAAATTTGTAAAAGGTCAAAATATAAAGAAGAAAATCATGTTCACATAGGTAGCATTTTTTTAACTTTTTATTTAGAAAGATACTAATGTAAGGTATTTAATGAATATTTATATGTATAAACTAATCCCACAAAACCAAACCAAACCAAACCACCACCAGGATCAGGCTGTATATACAGTTTTGTATTATTTTTTCCCACATTTTAAAATAATAATTAATTTCATGGAAAAAGACACACAATAGTATATATAATATGGCCTTAGTTTTATTAAATATTTATATGAACAGATAAAAAAGTTGGAAGAAATAACTCAGAACAGCAGCAGTGATTATCCTGGGGAGGCAGAAGTACGGGTGACTTTTTTTTTTTAAAAAAAAACATTTTATAGATTTTCTACAAGGAACATTTATCACTTTTGTAATTTGAAAAGATATTTAAAAATAAAGTTTTTTCCACACTGTGAGATCAGTTCAAGATTTTTCTTCTGGTTTCTTTTTAAGGTTTCATTTTCTTCCCCACTTAATTTTAGAATCTATCTGTAATTTATTTTGTGTATAATGTTAAAACACATTATTTAAAAAAAGACATGGTGAATTTCCCAAACCCAATTTGTTGAATAAACCTTCTCTTCCCTCTTGGTTTGTGATTTTTCTTCTCAATATATTATACCAGGGATGGTTTCAAGACTATTCACTACAAAGCTACTCAAAGTGCCTATCTGCGATGAACACGCCAGAAGGTGAATCAACACAATGCTTCCTTCATTGAGAAAGTCTGGCTACCAAAAAATGGTCAGTCTCACTCAAATGTGACACAGCTGACGGATGTGCTAAGCACAGCTCCTTATCTTGTCACAGACTGTATTAGACTGGAACGTTCCCAGACCAGCCACGGGCCCACGGACCACTCTGAGCAGCACTGGTCCATTTTATTCTGTTGACTTGTCTTGATTCTTGTGCAGTATCACAGATTTATTTGTTGTAGCTCTGTATTTTTTACTATCAGGTACTCTTGTTGTAACTGTGTGCTTCCAGTCAGCCTGAGGGAGGCGAAGGCCCACCAGGGTCTGAGAATCAAATGGTGTAAAAGATGTATTCCTGGGGCCCACTGGCCCCTGTGCCCTGGGTTCCAGCGCTTACTAAGGAACCTACTCCATTTCTAACAGATGTGCCTTTTGGCAGAAGCAGAAGGAGCTTCCTGCTTGTTCCTCAGAAGGGATTCTATTAAGACTCATATCCAAACATAAGACAGAGGTCACAGAGGGAGATAATCGCTCCTTTCTTTGAGCAGGCTGGCCCAGTATGGCCTGTCCTGTGATCAGCCGCAGTGGGACGACTCCCAAAACCTCCATATGGCCGTTGTACAGGATGCCTGGGAGATGAAAGGACCTTGGACACAAATGTTCTGGGCAGAAGCTGTTACAAATTCCATTTTAAAAAATGAGGAAGCCTGGCCTTCCTGGAGCAATCAGGATGCTTATTTATAGGCCTGGGCCCCACCAGCATTTCCATATAGATGGGAGTAGGGCCATCCTGCTCAGCAGGGAGGAACAGAAACTGAGGACCCTCCGCGTAGTGTTTTTGCCTCCCCGCTCTTTTTAGGGAAGTAAAAATACCTAACATTTGCATGGCAAATACAGTGGTTTCTTTACGTGACACACGTCAGGTCGAGAGCTGGCCTTCGGGAAGCACATGGTCAGAGTCTGAACACAGGCTGGGAAGTGGCAAGGCCCTGGCACACAAGGCCACCTCGCAGGGTCGGCTGCTGCCCACGGCCCATCCCCTTCCTTTCCCTCCTCTGGGAGGGCTGTTGTCGTTGACCTTCCTGGGAAATAACCAAATCAAGCCTCTTTTCCTACTGAGAGCTGGTGAGGTCGCCACGCTGCCACAGCACCCTGGAATGAGTGCTGGGTGGCCGTGGCATCTGCAGACAGCAGGCCTCTCCTGGCATCCACTTTCAGGCCTGCCTCTGCCCCCACCCCCTGCCTCACACACACACACAGGGAAGACTTAGGGACTCCACAGCGTCTGACCCCACTGTGCCTCGTCCAGCCCTAGCAATTCTAAGGAAATGGACAGGAAGTGACACCACTTCACTTTAGCCTTTTCCCACAGAAAGGGTTCCGTTGACATTATTTTGAAATAACCACACTGACATAGCACACACATTCACGTATAAAATACCACTGGAACATCAGCAGATATCTTATTCTCTTATGATTATCACACACACACACACATCATGATTGGGATGTTTGTAGTTTTGTTGAAATTCATGAATACAGCAAAAATGTACACAAAACACTATAGCTACAATATTTTACAGCCATTTTTATTTTATGAATAAAAATGGATTCATGGCAGTAGACGATCTGATCCTTCTAGATTATGAGTTAGTTCAGAATGCCTGAGGGAGGTAAAGGGACACCTTGCTGTGACCTTCACAATTAAAGTGCTGATGGAAGATGTGGGGATCACACGAGGTAGAGGCCCGAGGCAGAAATCAAGACAGAACAGTCACCATACAACTATAAAAATGGACAGAGAAACAGAAACGAAGATCTTACCACCACATTTTAAATAACTCGTATTCTGGACAAGAGGCTAATTTCAAAGCAGCACAAAAAACAGCACAAAAAGGGAAATCACCCAAATGCCTACCAGTGGCTGTGAGTGTAATAACTCATGGAACAGTCACGGCGGGGACACCACATCGCTGCTGAAAAAGAACGAGGTGGGTCTGTAAGTCCTGATGCAGAACTGCGACACTCAAGGACGGTGAGAGGAAAACGTGTGTATGGAATGCTAGCGTTTGTATAAAAAAGACACATTTCACACACGTGCATCGAGGTCTTCTGTCAAACTAACATCAAACTGGTGGCGGAGGTTCTTGGGGACAGCACTGGAGCAGAGGGAGGGGTGGGAACTTAGGACACGCCCTTTGTCACAGCTGAATGTTTACAACATGCGCATAGATGTACTTTCCAATGACAAATCTAGGTTAGCTTTGCTTTAGAAGCCCAGAGAGGTACAGTGGGAGGTGGCGCTGCTTTCTGCAGCTGGCTCAGGCACTTCTCCTCAGAAGCTGAGCTTGTGCAAAAGGAGCCCACTCTCAAGGAGCAGTGCTCCTTGGGCACTTCGGCAGGCCCGCCCTGTCCCTGTCACTGTGGGCTCCTGCGGGCCTTCACGCTGCTCTGCTGAGTGATGTCGGAGATACAGTGCCTCAAACACTAGTGGGATGAGGGTTGCATCTGGTCAGTTGCCTGTGTGTGTCCGTGTGGAGCAAGTGTCTATTAAAACCTTCTTCAACTGGAAATAAATTCCTTCTTCCCTTCCTTCTTCTCTCACAGTCTAATATGCCCAGAACTCAACACTCAGGACTTGTGGGCTTAGAGAGGCAATTTAAAACACACCCCCCCAATTTTGAAATAATTATAGATTCATAGGAGGTTGCAAAGCAATGTACAGGAGGGCCTGTGCCCCCTCCTCCAGCCTTCCCCAATATAACATCTGGCATAATTATAGCATAATACCAAAACCAGGAAATTGACATTGGTACAATCCACAGAGCTTATTCGGATTTCATCATTTTTAAAGGCACTAATGTGAGAGAGAGCGTGTGTGTGTGTGTGTGTAGCTTCATGTAACCACTACCAGAGTCAAGACACAGGACTGCTCCATCACCACAAGGCTCCCTCGTTGCTCCTCTGTTTTGGCCACTGCCCCATCTGCTCAGCCTAAGCCTTGGCAACTGCTAATGTGTTTTCCATCTCTATAATTTTGTTATTT